GAATGATGAGGCTTTCAGCTCCCATAAAGATTTACAGCCTCAGAAACCCTGTGCAGGGTTGCTATGAATCAGAACCGAGTCCATGGCACACAGCCACCAACAACCAATCATAGCGACTGCCACTTACTGATAGTTACATGGCAAGCACTTTTGCCTACTTTACCTCATTTAATTCTTTCAAAACCCTGGTGGGCCAGGTGAATGATATGATTGGCCCTTTTCATATGGAGACACCAGAGCAGGTTAGGAAAGACAGGAGGTCAGTTACAGAGGTTATATTTTAACATCAGTCTCTGACTCCTGAGGCTGGGTTGTAAATCACAATACTTTTCACATGTAGATTGGAGGATCCACTTTTGGCATGGGAGCAAGTAGGATTTTATTTTCTCAGTTTTAGTTGAAGATGAATAGAAAACTGCCGTTTCCAGTTGAGCACACTGATTTAAAGCAAAAAACAAACACACAAACGAAAACCTCAGCCAGTTGCCACAGTGTCACTTCTGCCTCCTGTAATCCTCATGTGTATAGAGTGGAGTTGTTCTCTGCAGGAAGATCAGCCAGATACGTCTTCCTAATTGCCTCTGGTCCAACCTTTTATGTACTAGCCCAGCCTTAACACTTTGCTCCACCCAGGGACTCCTACCACGTTGATACTTCCCTTCGTATTGCTATTAACACACAACATGTGCCTCCAACAGACATTGTTGAAAAACCATGACTTTCCTTTTTTCTAAAATCAGTAAAGCGACACACAGAGTGACTTTCTAGTTCTGTGACTTGCCCAGAGAAGGCACCCCCCAAATTAAGTTTTCCCTGTAGCAATGCACTCCTGGGCTCTGTGTTGCCCACTTCCATTGAGCAAGTATCAAGAAAGCCACCCGAGCAGGAAATCGTGTAGAGAAGTGCATGGAGGACTGTGAGTTGCTTTCCTAGAAATTAACTAGAAGTAAGATGTTGACCCTCAGCTGAGTGCCTGATGAGGCACCTTGTTAAACAGATGTTACTACATCTCCCTTGTTTGTGGGTTCTGCTGCCAATCCGTGCCAGCCACAGCAGTCCTCTCTACAGATTTTTTTTTTTTTAAACCACCCAAACACATTGCCTTCCAGTCTATTCCAATTTACACCTCACACCCACCCTACTACCATAGAGGGGCTTCTGACTCATAGGGACCCAAGGACAGACTAGAACTGACCCATGGGGTTTCCGAGGCTATAATCTTTTTGAAATTCAACTGCCACATCTTTTGTCCCACAGAGCACTAGTGGGTTAGAACCCCTGGACATTCAGTTAGAAGCGACTGCTTAATCTCTGTACCGTCAGGTTTCTCCCTCTCTGCAGTTGACCTTTGTAGCTCATTTCTTTCTGAGTCCTCCTCCATCTTGTTCTGTTACACTGTCCTCCATCTGTCCATCTCTGTCCTTCTGCGAATGTACGTCTTGTCTCTCTTTTGGTTTCCACGCTTTTCCCCTGTGTCTTTGTCAATTGCTCGCTCCCAATTCTGATTCTCATATCAGCTTCCTAAAGAGTCTGATTATAAGATATGGTCCTCATTTGGGTAAGCTTATAATCAAATGAACATTTAATGTAGATTTGTTGAATACCCTAGAACTTTTTTTTTAAGTGAGCTGTACATGCCACTTGCCTCTTCTTTGCTCCAACAAGTGATCGTCATGATGCAGTAGCATGCTTTGTACACAGTGTGCATATGAAAAGATAATATATGATTTGCATATATCTAAAGCTATGAGAATAATTTTATTTTAGAATGTTGTGTTGAATCACATTCTTATTTTATCAGTACCCCGAACTTCTCCTAAATTTTGAAACTCCAGAAAGACGGGGACATAAAGTTTTGGATGACTGTGGGTTTACCAGAGTTCTCAGTAGCTGTATACATTTGTCCACTCTGGCTGTTTGTCATGCTCCTTGAAACATTTGAGTACCTTTCACCTTGTGTTGAGTTGAACAGTAATGAAAGCAAACATACACAAAGCAAGGGTGACCTGAGATGGTGACTTAGTGCAAATAATACCATTTAGTGAAATGACTGGTCATCATCTACTTCACTATTTTACCAGTTCCTTAGTGAGAGGGCTGTTAAGTATGGCTAAAGGCTATTTAAATAACCACAATGCATGTTTTATATGCATGTGTGTGTGTATGTGGGGGCTGCAGTATGAGCTTTTGATTTGTCTGTCTTCCACCTCCCCAACCCACAGTCAGATAGATAAGAATAAGTGTCGGCTTAGCCACAAAGTATCTCAGTTTCTCTTTATATAGTTTCTCTCCTCTGTCTGTCTCTCATCTCTTCAGCTAAGGCTTAGTTCATAGAACATTCATAGTCATCATTTGTTGGTTTGTTATGTGTCATGGAGTCGATTCCGACTCTAAATCTTTACGGGAGCAGAAAGCCTCATCTTTCTCCTGCGAAACAGCTGGTAGTTTCAAAATGCTGACCTTAAAATTTGCAGCCCGATTCGTAACCACTGTGCTACCAGAGCTGATTGTTAACCATGAATGGAAACACATTTGATTCCCTCTATGTTTCATGGCATGTGCTCGTCTTTTTGTTAGAGTCCTTTTGAGAAAATGAAAGACACTGTGTTGCCATATGGAGTCCCTGGGTTGGTGGTTCGAGCCCTCTTAGAGGCACCTCAGAAAACAGGCCTGGTCATCTGTTTCTGAAAGGTCACAGCCTTGGAAATACTGCCGGGGGGTGGGGGGGCAGTCTTCTGTGCACACACGGGGTCCTCATAAGTCAGGTCCACTCAACAGCAACTACCAACACTGCACAGCTGCTCCAGTACCATCGTGACTAGATCCCACTCAGTCATTATATATTTTAACCACATTGAAATGTGACCTCACTTTACTTCCTCAAATGCAGAGTAAAATTCAGAGTGTGCCATCCTCACATAAAGCCCTACCCTGTTGTTGTTGTTATGTGCCGTGGTGTTGTTTCCAACTCATAGTGACCCTGTACAGGGTTTCTGAGGCTGTAAATCTTTACGGGAGCAGAAAGCCTCATCTTTCTCCCATGGAACCGGCTGGTAGTTTCAAACTGCTGACCTTGATTTTAGCAGCCTGACTCATAACCATTATGCTACTGGAGCTCCTTAAAGTCCCACCCTAGCCAGTAATGATCAAAACAGAACAAAACCCCACTGCTATTAAGCCAATTCCTACTTAAAATGGCGCTGTGTAGGATTTCCAAGACTGTAAATCTTTATAGTAGACAATTTCATCTTTCTCCTGCAGAGTGGCTTATTCATGGGTTTGAACTGCCAGTCTGTGGTTACCAGCCCACTGCATGACCAAGACGCCTTCCAGTAATGATACTTGTAGGAATTATTTGAATTAAGCGGCGTATGGGAAGTGTCTGTGGTCACTCTAGTGATGTTATGTACATACTTCCCCATAGCTAACATTTAGAACTTTATTTCTAGCAGTAAGCAGAGAGAATGTCTTGAACCTTGTATGTCTACAAAAAGGAACTCCTCAGTTAACTAGTTAAAAGGAAAGGGAGTCTATATTTTGAAGGAGGAAAAAAAGTGCAGTCGATTCAGTTCATAACTAGAGAATACACTTTTTAAACTAGCCTGGAATTGCTATTATATTCCTTTTTCCCCCCAGTGTAAAATGTTATTTTATTGAAGTCAATTGTCTCCCTCTTGTGGTCCTGCGAAAAATTTCAGTTTCAAGGAAAATAGCTTTCTGTTCTGAGGAAACGTGTCTTCCTGCTTTTCTTTCAAAAAAGAAAGAGAAAGAAGAAGGAATCGAGGAAGGAAAATAACTTTGGTGACAGACCCAATTTTCTGAAAAAAGGTCATCTTCTTAGAGAATTCTATTTTGTGACAATGTTGTGTTAGGTGTCTTAGAGTATGTTCCAGCTCCTAGCCGTCCTGTGTACTATAGAAAAACTGCTGCTTGGTCTTGTGCCGTCCTCCCTGTCATTGCTCAGTTTGTATCAGAACAACGTCTTCATCTCATTGACGTCTTCTTCCTTTTCATTCACCCTCTTCTTTACCAAGCATCACGTTCTGCTCCAGTGAGTTGCCTATCTTCTTGGTAACACGTCCAGAGTACATGACATGAAGTCTTCCCATCCCCGCTTCCAGGGAGAATTCTGGCTGTACTGCTCCTAAAACTGATTTGTTAGTTCTTCTGGCGGTAGTGGTTATGTGTTGTGGAGTTGGTTCAACTTATAGTGACCCTGCATAGGGTTTCTGAGGCTGTAAATCTTTACAGGAGCAGAAAGCATCATCTTTCTCCCATGAAACAGCTGGTAGTGTCGAACTGCTGACCCTGAGGTTAGCAGCCTGACTCATAACCACCACTCTACTAGAGCTCCTTATTCTTCTGATAGGCCATGGTATAGTCAATATTCTTTACCAACAGCATGATTCCAGTGCAGCATAACCAACATGTGTTAAAACATCTAAGGAGTCCCTGGGTGATGCTAATGTTTAAGCAACCAAAAAGGTGGTGGTTCAAACCTACCCCCAGACACATTGGAACAAAGCCTAGAGATCTACTTGCCAAAAAGTCACAGCCCTGAAAACTCAATAAATTGCGGTTCTACTCTGTACAATTGGATTCTCCGGAAGTTAGACTGTATTTGCTAGACAGCAACACTGAACATGTGCTAACTGCTGCTAGCAATGCTAGAAACCGTGTTGGCCACATTATCCATTGTCTTCCTGCTCATAGTAGACTGTAAGTCAGTAACATAACCTTCTTGTAGTTGTAAGAAGCTTCATCCTTTCCTCTCTCAAAGGAATTTAGCTAAGGAAACTGTATACCTCTACGTTTTATTTCTGTGAAGGAATGGAAGCCTAAGCAAAAAGCCTATCTTTAAAAAAAAAAAAAAAAAGGCAGCTACATTTTATATCAAATCATTTCCTTTAAATGAAGTTGGGAATAACATCTGAGTTCTTTTCTGAATTACTTGGAAGCTGCTCAAGAGTTCATTTCTGTTATTGTTTTTTTCTTTATAGTTACCTGTGTCCGGTAACTTGATTGACCTTTACAATAGCCAAGGATTACCGCCTCCAAACCTGACCATCAGCAACTCCTGTCCAGCCAACCTCCCCAACATAAAAAGGGAGCTCACAGGTAAATACCAAGCAGATGTGCCTCTTCCTGTGGATTTTCTTGAAACTCCCTGATTAGACAAAGTTCTCAGAATAAGGTTCTCCAGAGTCTACCCAACTTTGTTAGGCCTATGTAGTGTTTTTTGTTTTGTTTTAAGTGGGCAGCATTCTAAAATAAGGGGATTATACTTGAAATTCATTGTTTCCAGTATTTGTTAACATCCTGGAACCAGGCTGTCATTCCTCCATGGTAGCAGTCGCTGAGCCGATAGCTGCCATGCCCTTTGTGCAGGGTGCAAGCATCTCTCTTCACCTGTAAAGTGTCTCCGCCTAGTCTCGTATTTATGTCACTTGTCCATACGCATTTGAATTTGACAGCCCTGGTCTGAAATTTCCTCTGACACACATTTGAGCTCACAGTTGTGGAGGGTAAGAATACATTAGTTACATCTCCAGAAGTATGATGTTATTTTCACTACTTCATATGCAAAGGATTTATTTACAGAGAGGCAAAAAAAAAAAAAAGAAAGAAAGAAATTATAAAAGGGAGCAAAAGATATTATTGTTTTTAAGGCAAGTGTGAACTGACCTATTTTACTATTTTGTTTAATGCTTTAGGGAAGGAATTTGGCCAATAAAATATGACAGAAATTGTATTAGAGCTGACATTGTTACTTTGGTGAATTGTGTGCCCCCCATGTTTTTGGAGTGAAGGTGTCCTTGCATTATGCCAAATTGAGTGAACAGAGAATATGGTGTTAAAAACAAACAAACAAAAAAACCCAGTCCTATTCAGAATATTTTTTAAAAATAATACTTCAGAGAATTGTGTTAGGAAAAAAAGATATTTTAAAAAAGCTGATTGGGGTTAAAAACATAGTTAATGGATTTATTATTAATCAATATAAACTACCAAAGGCCAATAGAAACAAAAACCACCTATCACCAAATGATATCTCTTTATAAAAGAATAAAATACTGCCAAAGCAACATGAATACAATTCTTATTACTTGAGTGGAAAGTGCAATTTTGAATTGTGAGTATGATTTTTTTCCTTCAAAAACAAAGTAAAGCCTAGGATATCATTGACACAGACACAGAATGTGTGAATAAAAAAAAAGGAAACATACTTGTTTGGGATTGAGTGGCTCTGTGGGATACATCACTGTTTCCCAAGGTTGTTTTGAACCACAAAGTCAGTGATTCAAACTCACCAGCTGCTCCTTGGAAACCCTGTAAAGGGTCACTGTGAGTCAGAACCAGCTTGACAGCACTTAGCAATAACAACATAAAAAAATATAATGATCTATGTATAATTTATAGCCACTAATGTCTACATTAAGGAGCTCTGGTAGCGTAGTGGTTACGACTCGGGCTGTGAACCGCAAGGTCAGCAGTTTGAAACTACCAGCTGCTCCGCGGGAGAAAGATGAGGCTTTCTACTCCCGTAAAGATTTACACCCTCGGAAACCCTGTGCAGGGTCGCTATGAGTCGGTTCCGACTCCACGGCACATAACAACAACAACAACAATGTCTACATTAATGAGCTCTGGCAGCGTAGTGGTTACGAATTGGGCTGAGAACTGCAAGGTGAGCAGTTCAAAACTACCAGCTGTTCCATAGGAGAAAGATGAGGCTTTGTGCTCCTGTAAAGATTTACAGCCTCGGAAACACTATGAGTCAGAACCGACTCCATGGCACATAACCACCACCACCAATGTATACATTGGAGTCCTGGTGTGGCATTGTAGGCTGATGCATCAGACTGCAAAGCCATTTGAACCTCATGGTTGGTGATTCAAGTTCACCAGCTGCTTCTTGGAAACCCTGTACAGGGTCGCTATGGGTCAGAATTGTATACACGGAGTCCTGGTATGGAGCTGCGGGTTAATGCACTGCGCTGCAAGGTTGGTTTGAACCACAAGGTCAGTGGTTCAAGCTCACCAGCTGCTACTCCGGTATCTTGCACAGGGTCACTGTGAATTGGAACTGACTTGATGACACTTAACAATAACAGTGTATACACACACATCCCACATAGTATTTCAGAGCCTAGACATTATACAAAAAAGGTTTATTATTTTGAGGTAGGATTCTCAATTTTGATAAAGCAATGATTCAGGTATCACTTCTGCAGAGAAAATAACAGATTGCTGAATCCCAGTATTAGTCAGTCTGATGTTTTGTTTTGTTCTCTGTAAGTCAAATAAAGTACTCTATCAAAGAGATCTCATCAGCGTGTTTACACAAATACTTTACAGATGGAGTTGGCACCAAGTGCCTCCTCTCTACCCTGTTTTTTTGTTTGTTTGTTTGTTTGTTTAAGTAGACTAAAACTAGTAAGCAATTGCTCCTAAGAGTCACTAAGTAGTTTTATTATGGCAAGTTCTGAAAAAATGAATTCGTTTCCAGGAACTGATCAGAGAACCTAGAGAACGTTTGCGGTTGCTCTATGCAGTTTCCTCGTTAGTCTGTTACTTTTTAAAGGCAGCGAAGAAGGACTGAGTTTCTGTGTTGCTGAAAAGACAGTTTGATTCTCGACAAGACAATATTAACAGTGAAGTTCTATTGTTTTCTGGTTATTTTTTTTTCTTGTTAGTACTCAAGTCTGTTTAGCTTGTATTATAGATGTTTCAGATTGTGTCTTTCTGTTTAAAGAAGCCACATGTTGGCATTTATTTTAAATACATTTTGCTTTTGAGAAATGCATGCTTTAAAAAAAATTGGAAAAATAAATGTACATAGCGTCAAATCATATAAAGCTCCATATATGTAGAAAATGAGATGTTTGCTAGTTGGTTTTTGTAGTTATTATTTTGTCGTTTTCTTAGTTATTTTTCTTGTATTGTGTGCCTTGAACCGTTCCAATTCTAATGACTACATTCACGTGCACAGCGTGTATTTTTCCCACAGAGTCTGAAGCAAGAGCTTTGGCTAAAGAGAGACAAAAAAAGGACAATCACAACTTGAGTAAGTTGGTTTCGTTCGTATTCATGACATTTAACCTTGGAGTTGAGATCGCACATCAAAGTAGTTTTTCCAGAAGTTTGGCAAGGAAATTGATTTCTATAGCTGCTAAAGGTATATATGATACGAAAGAACATTGTACTCCAGAGAAAGTAAGTCATATAGTTTTGATTTGGTTTTCGTTGAAATTTCACCTTAAATCAAATTCAGTTTTGTAAATATACTTGTTTTCAGTACTCTGAAGATTATTTCTATGCCTTGTTTATAGTCATGTTTTATTCATTTATTTTCTCCTTTTTTGGTGAGAGGTAGCCTAGATCCCCAAACTACCCAATTATAAGTGTTGCTCACATAGGAACTTATTAACAAAAGGGATCACCTTCTCCAGTGAGATTTGAAAGAAATGGAGAAAAAAAACAAGAGCCTGTTTGCAGGGGAAAGGATGGTCTGTTAGATTGCTGCCATTACCTCTGATTTTTAATTTTCTCAAAAAAAATGTAAGCTTTCAGAAGTTCTGTACTATTTAACATATTCATGTTTGATTTCATCTCAATCAAAAATTTAAATCTTGCCTGTGAAAGCCTAAATTCTGGTTTAATAAACAAGTAAGTGAAGATGCACAATTGAAAAAAAAAATGGGTTTGGAGGGAGGAAATTGTG